TGAAGTTGCGTTATTGTCCCTGCGTTACTTTGAAGTTGCGTTATTGTCTCTGTGTCACTTTGAAGTTGCGTTATTGTCCCTGCGTCACTATGAAGTTGCGTTATTGTCCCTGCGTTACTTTGAAGTTGCGTTATTGTCCCTCCGTCACTTTGAAGTTGCGTATGGTCCCTGCGTTACTTTGAAGTTGCGTATGGTCCCTGCGTTACTTTGAAGTTACGTTATTGTCCCTGCGTCACTTTGAAGATGCGTTATTGTCCCTGCGTCACTTTAAAGTTGCGTTATTGTCCCTGCGTCACTTTAAAGTTACTTTATTGTCCCTGCGTCACAATGAAGTTGCGTTATTGCCCCTGCGTTGTTATTGTGCCCCTGTTATTGCCCTTGCAAGCTCCCACAGGCTGTGGGAGCTTGCAGGGTACAGAGCTTGTAGCGTTTAACCATTAAAAAGTTTACCTACCGTCACTTAAATTTTTCCTGCATGATTATTCCCTGCTTTACATACTGCGAATATATTAAAATTCTAAACCATTCTTGATAGGCATTGAAACGGTTATTATGAGCTATCAACTATTGTATATTGTATTGGCTATGGATATTTTAGGAAATTTTTTTATGATGATTCAGTTAGAAATCAATATGTTAACTGGATGTGTGATGGTTAGGTCAGATGATCTACATGGAGGACTGGAAGATGATCTTGTTCCTGTGCACTCCGGTGATGCCAGATCTGGACTCGATGATCTACACGGGACTCTACATCAATGATCTTTCCATGCACGACTTTTCGAGGTAGGTTTCTTTCCATGCACGACTTCTCGAGGTAGGTTTCTTTCCATGCACGACTTCTCGAGGTAGGTTTCTTTCCATGCACGACTTCTCGAGGTAGGTTTCTTTCCATGCACGACTTTTCGAGGTAGGTTTATTTCCATGCACGACTTCTCGAGGTAGGTTTCTTTCCATGCACGACTTTTCGAGGTAGGTGCTCGCTACACATCCGACGTACCGTACGTGTTAGCCAGGTATCAAAGGTATACGTGTTATCCAGATATCTTCGATACTTGTTCATCAATTGCAGGAAGTAATGCTTTATGCAACAATGTTTCTTGCAAATATGACATTATCATTGTTATAGAAACGTTCTAGCATCGTAGTGTTCAATTTGAATGTATATACAAGCATGTTAGTAGATTTCTTTCATTTTCCGTAATTGCAATTGACCGATTTGAATAGCCGTGCGCATTATATTTTGTAGCAATATAAAATGCCCATCGTCGGCGCATGTCCATTGCTCAGCTGAGTATATCAAATGATGTATGCTGATCTCTCCCTGAATTAGAATATTGAGATGACATGCATGCTGTTTAAACTGTAAATGAATCCCGAATTTAACAGCAAAAAATAACATCACTCCTCGGGGACTAGTGTTAAAATCGCTCGATTGCTGATATTGCATATTATTCACAAATTTAATAGCAAAGAAAATGATATTACTCCACGGGGACGAGTGTCAAGATCACTCGATTATGGTTCGCGAATTTGATAGCGAAAAATGTGATATAACTCCGCAGAGACGAGTGTCAAGATCACTCGATTATGGTTCGCGAATTTGATAGCGAAAAATATGATATAACTCCGCAGAGACTTGATGTTGGCCGGGACCCAGCAGTCCGTGGAGCTAAAGCTTGCGCTCGACCAAGAACAACTCAAGAGCAAGAAGCTCGAAGTTTCTATGAAGAAGTTGGACGAGGAGATGAAGCGAACTGACGAGCTTCTTTACCAGATGATCCCTAAACAGGTGCGTACATTGCGACACTTGCTGTTTGTTCTGTAAATTACCCCTTAGTTACGCGCTGATGAAAATGCTCGATTTTATACTATGTGCGTGATGTCATCAACAGTTTTCTTTTGATTTGTTTGGATGAAATCAAGAATGATAGTGGGATCAAGTTTGGATGATAGGGGGATCAAGGTGTTTTTCTGCATTTTGTTTTCTAGAAGATCTCTTTCCGAGTTAACCATTTGCGATAAATCAATCCTGTTGCACTTGCTGATTTTACATCTTTTAACCTATGTTGATCACACCCATAATTATTTGCCATTTTTCTGTTCCCAAATTTCATTGAAGACGGGATATGACTCGTCACTTTCCAATAATTTATCTTAACGTTTGCTATTTTATCTTAAATTGAATGTTTCAGGTTGCCGATCGTTTACGCAAGGGGGAAAATCCGGTAGAGACCTGCGAGGTGAGTGACGAACTTCATCATAGATATAATAGTATTTTATTGCAGTGAGCGTTATAAGGTTTACGATGCTCGTAAATTTAGATATCAGTCTCAAGATTGGCCAGACACGATGAAAGCCTTGATTGGGATTGGTTAATGGATCTTGATGGAGATTATTGGATGGATGGAGTCATAGGACAGGCCTCGATTATTCTTATTATCCTCGAGCCATAAAGCAAAGTTTCTGAAGGGTCTTCGTTGATTGCAGAGTTACCAGTTAATGAAATGTGATGCAAAGCTTGCATTTTTACTTACACTAAGCAAGTCTAATTTCACTCGGTGACCAACCAAGAGAGCAATTAAGGTGCTATCTATGTTCCTCTAGTAAAATACTATGTAAGGCAGATGGTGCTCAGCCGATGGCCCTGAAAACCAAACTTCGATGGTTTGATGTTGTGCGATCTATATTTTTGGAGAACAGGCCAGGACCGGGGAAGAATTAAGTAAGAATGCGTAATTTACTTATTCCGCAATTTCACAATGAATATCATAAATTGCAGTATAAATAAATATAATGAATTAATAAATATGGCAAATAAAATAAATAATAAATATTTCACAATGAATATCAAATGCATGTTTACTGGTGTTGAGGAATGAAATTAGTTTAAACTGTCAAGGACGAAGTCTCATTCGAGAAATAAAGCGTTGTATTGCGTAGGAAAACTGGATCAAATTCTGAAAATCGTGGATATTCGATGGAATTGATGCACTTGAGAACCTCTCAACTCTTGTTATAAAAACCCTTCATGACACGTTCGTCCGCCCATCTTAATTAGGCTTTATATTTTCTCGTCTTGGAAAACCATATACATGGGTAACAACTTTCCTCATAAACATTAAAATAAAGTAAAAATAATTCATTACGTATCGTCGTTCACGGAGATCTAATCTTGCGTTATATATTTAAATTAAATATAGACATTTGAGCTAGTGACGATCCTGTTCTCGGACGTGGTGACGTTCACAGAGATCTAATCTTGCATTATATATTTAAATAAAATGCAGACATTCGAGCTAGTGACGATCCTGTTCTCGGACGTGGTGACGTTCACAGAGATCTAATCTTGCGTTATATATTTAAATAAAATGCAGACATTCGAGCTAGTGACGATTCTGTTCTCGGACGTGGTGACGTTCACAGAGATCTAATCTTGCGTTATATATTTGAATTAAATGCAGACGTTCGAGCTAGTGACGATCCTGTTCTCGGACGTGGTGACGTTCACGGAGATCTGTTCACGCATCACCCCCATGCAAGTGGTGTCCATGCTCAACGCCATGTACTCAATCTTCGACAACCTCACCGAGAAACACTCCGTATACAAGGTGAACTTACTATTAACTATATTAAGTACTATATTATTATTATAAGGTACATACTCTATTGTTAGTGTGAAGTTATTATGTTATCATATTTTGTATAGTTGCTTTTCATGGAGATATTTTCTCCCCCAGCACTTTATTAGCTAATTATTTTTTATTTATTTATTATTGGCAATATTGGCTATTGGTTAATAATTGGTATTAGCAAGTAATGAAGTCGTGAATACTTTTTAATTGATTTTATATCTATTTACTCACTCAAATACCATAGACTAATTACGATACTATATACTAGTATTATACTATACTATTTCACGCGTATAAACAAACCTCAACTACAAGCACACCGCAAATATACTCCTCCATCATTCATACTGCCATCCCTGCTATATTCCTTACATTGTGGCGCTTCTTTAGCCAATATGGAAAATATTGTCCTATACTGCGCCATTAAACATTATTATTCTTCCATAGGAAATAAGAATTCTTGCAAACGTGGCTTCAAACTTTTTTTGCACAGTTTCCTATTGTTAGCTATATGATATTGGTTTCGTTTCCTACTTGGACTTCCCTTCTTCATACTTAATATTAATATAATTTTAGTGTTATTCTGTGTACGTTGTAAGGGTTTGCATCCTGTGAATGCAATGTGCTCATTCTTGATCTATTTGACTTGCTGAAGACGAGTAAATTATTAAATTAGGCCCCTTGAATCCTATAGCCGAACTTTGTTGTTTGAGCATTTGGCTCAAATTTTTTGTTTTATATTCCATTTATTTTATTCTATCGAATCATTACTTTATTTTAATGATGACACCATTATTCTTTAATTTCCAAAAAGTATTATACGCGGATTATGCTAGATATATGTTATGCAATAATGCATAATATTAATATGTCTCCAATTATGCACTTGCATGCTTCATACCAAGTACCTCATCACACACTTCCCCGAGAACTCACGTATCCTATACCGTAACACACTTCATCCCCGTGCGCTCAAGTACCCCATCACACACTTCCTCGAGCACTCACGCATCCTATAACACACTTCCTGCTGCAAAATACGTACCTTCCTCATACATTTCCCCATGCGCTCACGTATCTTCCTCATACACTTCCCCATGCGCTCACGTATCTTATAATACACTTCCTCGAGCACTCGCATATCCTATAACACACTTCCTACTGCAAAATTCGTATCTTCCTCATACATTTCCCCTTGCGCTCACGTATCTTCCTCATACACATCCCCGTGCGCTCACGTATCCTGCTCATCCCCTGGGGGGGCGGCAGGTGGAGACCATCGGTGACGCGTACATGGTGGTGGGGGGCGCGCCGGAGCGGCAGAGCGCACACGGACAGCTGGTGTGTGACATGGCGCTGGACATGGTAGAGGCCATCACGGACCTTAAGGACCCCAGTACAGGTCTGTAGTGCCCTTAGTCTGGGTCCTTATGACCATCACGGACCTTAAGGACCCCAGTACAGGTCTGTAGTGCCCTTAGTCTGGGTCCTTAAGGCCATCATGGGCCTTAAGGACCCTAGTACAGGTCCTGTCTCTTATACACATCTAGATGTGTATAAGAGACAGTTATTGTCCCTGCGTCACTTTGAAGTTGCGTTATTGTCCCTGCGTTACTTTGAAGTTGCGTATGGTCCCTGCGTCACTATGAAGTTGCGTTATTGTCCCTGCGTCACTTTGAAGTTGCGTTATTGTCCCTGCGTTACTTTGAAGTTGCGGTATTGTCCCTGCGTTACTTTGAAGTTGCGTTATTGTCCCTGCGTTACTTTGAAGTTGCGTTATTGTCCCTNAGGACTGTAGTGCCCTTAGTCTGGGTCTTTATTGCCATCACGGATGTTAAGGACCCCAGTACAGGACTGTAGTGCCCTTTGTCTGGGTCTTTATTGCCATCACGGATGTTAAGGACCCCAGTACAGGACTGTAGTGCCCTTAGTCTGGGTCTTTATTGCCATCACGGATGTTAAGGACCCCAGCACAGGACTGTAGTGCCCTTAGTCTGGGTCTTTATTGCCATCACGGATGTTAAGGACCCCAGTACAGGACTGTAGTGCCCTTAGTCTGGGTCTTTATTGCCATCACGGATCTTAAGGACCCCAGCACAGGTCTGTAGTGCCCTTAGTCTGGGTCCTTATGGCCATCACGGACCTTAAGGACCCCAGCACTGGTCTGTGGTGCCCTTAGTCTGGGTCCTTAATGTCATCACAGACCTTAAGGACCCCAGCAAAGGTATGTTATAATTAATCTTGATTTGATATAAAAAGTGTTTGAATGCTAAAGTTCCGCCACTGGTTTTGTATGATAAATGCAATGATTATTTATCACTTTATTATTCACTCAATAAATATCATTTACGTTTCTCAGTATATGAACATTATCGTTGTATTCATTACGTTTTTATATATATGTGATTACAAAGTTGGTAATTAAATCGTTATATCATTTTGAATGATCGTTACGAATATATTGATTATATATTGATCGTTATATATATTATATTGATCGTTACGATATATTGTACGATAAATTCTTGTATATATGATGAGTTGTAAGTTTGTAACAAGATGCAGGATTTAGATATTCTATAATAATATCTATGCTGAATGTAGGTACGTATTATGATACGTATAGTGCAGTATTACATAACACGTACCCTGCATTATACGTGTACACCAGGCAACCACTTGCGTATCCGCGTGGGGGTGCACTCGGGGATGGTCGTGGCGGGGGTCGTGGGGATGAAGATGCCCCGGTACTGCCTCTTCGGGGACGCCGTCAACACGGGTTAGTACAAATTTTTCTTCGTCGTAAATAGGTACTGCTTTAAATAGTTACCTATAAATAGGTACCTGCTTAAATAGGTACCTAGAAATAGGTACTTATAATAGAATTTATTATAGTTACTACCTTAAAATACCAGTATTTGAATTCCTGCGTAGTTATTTTCAATGCGTCAGCTTCACAAGTTGCTATTTGTTTCGAGTGTTCTCATACATTTATATATTATTCTTATATATACAATCTGTCGCATTTTTCACCTTTTATCATCGAAAAGATTGTCGTCTTTTAGCTATGCTATTTTATATCTATTAACCCTACGTCACCATGACTAACATTCCCATTTTTCTGCTAACTATTGATATGAAAACATGAATCTAATGCAAAGTTAGATTGACTAAATTCTCGTGTTACCTTTTCGTATCCTTCACCTTGTATGTAATTTCGTAAATAAGTACGTTACGTTTGCATCAAATCTGTAAAAAAAATTATTATCTTTCTCGTGAAGGATTTTCCCTTCGGACGACCGGCCTGTGGTGTTTTGAAGTTAATTCTTTGATTGATCATCGCATTTTAATATCGTTTCATATTTTAATTGGTTAGTAATGGATTAAACTGTTTTTATGTACTGGTCTTGGCAATTAAATAAGTTAATTATTATATTAGTCAATACGCGAGACATATTCAGTGCAAAGGTCTATTGATTTCAACCTCCATTCAGCGTCTTTGTTGCTCAGGGATGCGAGAGTTTGATTATGTTGAACGTAATCAACTGCTGTGTGTCGGCGTAACAAAGGCTTTCATTATTGCTAGAGAGCAGTTCTATCTCCCTCTAATCATATCTTCTCATCATACTTTTCTATGATACTATGTTCTCTTTATTGTGTCTTCCCATAGTCGCATCTTCCTTGTACTTCTTTCCGCTTCCTCATTTCCGTTTAGACTCAATAGATAGCACATATACTCTCACTTTTGCCTTAATAATAATAATAATAATAATAATAATAATAATAATAATAATAGCGGTTTCAGCGTTTATTAGGCCGTAGGCCTGTCGCCGATTCTTAACATCGCAGAACATTCACAGATTTAGTGGTTTCCCGTTTGTTGTTTGCTCAGCATCACGCATGGAGTCCACAAGCGAGGCGATGAAGATCCACATCTCGGAGTCGACGAAGGAAATCTTGCCCTCGGGATACAACACGGAGGTTCGGGGAGAAATCACCGTGAAAGGGAAAGGTGGGAATTGAGTCAACGTGTAATTTCATCTGTGTGCTCTTATTATCTGAATATTATTATCTGAATATTATCTGAATATTAGACTTGCATATTACGGTATCTGAAAATGCTACATTGGTTTTCGCTTTATCAATGAACTGTATATTGATGCATCGTGCTAATGCTGTGTAACAATAAAGTGGTATACCGGAAGTTGATGTTAATCCGTTTGTGAAAGCCGCCGACTATCGAAACAGTCGATAACTGCGTTAAATTATTTCAAAGCGCCCCAAATCACAATAAATACGCATAAAAAACACCAGAGCCTGAAAAAGCGCGGGTACTTTTCACAATCGTTAGGGGAGTCGCGTCGGTTTTCGAATTTTAGTTTATTTTCGAGTCAGGATTTTGCCGAAATCCGCGTCGACTTCCATTTATTTTGACTTTCCAGGAGGTTTGACAAGGTTAGTAATGGCGATGGAATTCTATGCAACTCAGAAAACGAAATTCAAATGGCGCACTTTTATAGCGTCACAATGATAAATCTTGAAAAGCATTAAAAATAACAAAAATCCTGCTTATTTTCTCGGACAATTTTCTCTTGAATTTCAACTATTCCTCGAATAGACCCACTCTTTCCACGTCTCACGCAACATGAAGACCTACTTTTTGCAGTGTCATAATGAAAAATCTTGAAAAGCATTAGGCGTAACAAAATCCTGCAGATTTTTCTCGGACAATTTACTACTGAATATGAAGTATCCCTCAAATTTCAGGTGCACGAGGCCCACTTTGGGCCCCTTGGACCTCTCGTATGAGGCCCCAACTAAACGCTTCCCTCATCAAATAGACCCACTCTTTCCACGTCTCAGGCAACATGAAGACGTACTTTTTGCAATGTCATAATGAAAAATCTTGAAAAGCATTAAACGTAACAAAGTCCTGCATATTTTCCTCGGACAATTTACTACTGAATTTGAAGTATTTTTCCAATAGACCCACTTTTTCCACGTCCCAGGCAACATGAAGACCTACTGGCTGTCGTCCCGCGATGGTCGCGAGAGCATCAAAGGCAAGTACGGTCCCCCGCAGTTCGCGACCATCGATGGCCACGAGCGGCCGCCGTCGTCTGCGTCGCGCGCGTACTCGCCTGTGACGATGGAGGAGGTCGCTCGTCTGTCCCGCGCCAATACGCCTGTGCCGGGCGCTGTGGGTGGTGCAAGTGCTCCGTCTGTGGGCGCTGGATGTAGTGTTGCAAGTGAGTTCTTTTTAGCGCTTTTTCTCATTTATGGAAAAATGTACTATAGTGCTCGCCATGTCCGTCTGTCCGTCTGTCTGTATGTCCGTCCGTGACTTCGCGTTTTCGTCGACGAGAAAATGCGCTCTCTGTCACTAACTGCAGTGAGTACTGGGTTTTATTTTTTAAGACAATGAATAGTGTTGGGGTAATTCGTTTTATTTAAGGTTGGACTGTGAAGAAGAGTATTAAAAAAAAATTCGGGTGGTTAATGCAACAAAAAATTCTTAGGAATGCAAAAAGCGATTTTGATTTCAATTCAACAATCGTTGAAATTTAGAATTAATGTACGTTTTATGGTAATTAAACATTAAATTACATTAAATAAATACGTACATTAAATTTAGAAATTTAATGTACGTTTTATGGTAATAATTTAATGGTTTAGAAACGTGTCTTGCGACGACCCTCTTCGTATTTCATATCTTCCTTAATTTAAGTGGTCTTGAAATCCTGTTTTTATTCTTTTATGACTTTCTGTCTCTAGTCACATCCCTCTTTGTTCTTCCCTGTATTATAAACACTCAGAGATCTGTGTGAGTCGTCCTGGCAGACCATACATTTTCTTCTATATTGCAGTTTCGATCTGTTGTCTGGTTACATGCGGTCTGCACGCAATCTATCTTGCATCTTGAAAATTATTTGTCAGTACTTTAACTTTTTTTTGGATACGCGATTTACTGAAATAATAAATAATGTCGGTTTAATTTTTGTTAGGAACTCCAATGGTTCACATTCGAGTGTCTTGAATTGGCTTTACGGTCAAGCCAGGTAATGGGCATGGGCAAAATGGGTAGATATGTTACATTTGAATTGCAGAACGGAACACCTGTTGTGGACAAAATTAATTACATTATGTATTTACCTGCAACTAAATGGACCGCGCTCAGTTATATTGCTTTCATATATCTAAATAAAGAAGTTTGCTATAAATTCTGAATAAAATTTATTAAACTTATTACTTATTCACTGAACTCTCTCTTGAATGCACACTCTTTTTGCATTTTGAGAATCTTGTCCTATGACAGCTGTTTATTAATTATCAAAATATCTCTTAGTCATTATTTTCTTCGTCCCTCGTTTGTTTGCGCCAGACATGATTCGTGAAGAATGCATGTCTTATCACTATAATGCCTCTGATTTATAACAGAATGTAAACAAAATAAAATAACCAGGCTCTTACAAAGCTTTGATTCAACTTTAATGCGCCTAATTATAGCATTTTAACGCTCTAAACCTAAAATTTTATCAAAGTTTGATTCCAGCCAAACCTTTTTGTTAATCAGCATTTATCGCACGTCAACGAATTGCCATGACAATTCGAATATAAACCTACAATTGTGGTAGTTGTTCAATTCTGTTCGACTTCATTGGACGTGTAACATGAGAACGTGTGGTTGAGTCCTGTGAACCAGAGCGTGCTTGCCTCTTCACTTCCCTTTCCAGAGCCTGTCATTGTCATTCCGGAACATGTGGACTGATCTTCTGTGCGTGCAGGTATGTGTACGTCTTCTTGTTTTGCCACAACCTTGACGCACATCAAAGTGTTGACCAATCCAGTCACAATTGAAAGTCACAATGTTGCGACTGTCACAGTGCGACTGTTTAATTTATTGTTTAGGTTTATATTGCTTCTTGATTAGTCTATCTATGGATTTTCTTTGCCGTTCAGAATCAAGAGCATGAGTTTTGTGGGGAGTGTGTATTGATCGTCAGCATGGAGCATTTACCATTTTACAAAGCACGTGGAGGAAAAAATTGAAAAACGAGTAAAAATACGTGTAACAGGAATGCGATGACTTATTTCATCTAAAACTTTAAACTTTTTGAATGTCTCTTGCTTTCTCTGTTTGCATGTGAATGCGCTTTACTATTAAGTTATAAACTTAGTCTTATCTTTAAATATAGGTATTGTGATTTATTTAACCGCTGTTGTACTTTTCAGGGCGCGTTGTTGTCACACTCACACGTTTTCATACTCATAGTGCACATTCAAATCATCTCATCTCATGCCAGTTTTAAGGCATTAAATATAATATTCATAAATATTTCTGCGAATAACTTACATAGTCATTGGAATGCAAATCTCTTTTTTTGCATGATATTTCCACAGTATGATTGATAATATACTTCTGAAGATATTGTCTTGTATTATTTAAAATTTATTACAATTTCTAATAAATCGCTGGTAATTATCTTTCATTCAGTTACAGTATATTACGACTATTCTTTGATCATTGATGAACAATTGCATTATATTCAGCGCATCCCGTGCAATCAGCGTGCAGACACAGAGACGAGCCAATATTGCTCGCGTCGGGATACAGAGTTTCTTTAGCTACACCATTATATAGATTTGCAAAATTGTTTTTACTGTACGTGTAATTTTCTGTGTTTTACGGCTGGCACGTATAAATATATAAAAATATGAAGTAGCAAATGTGTTTATAGCACTGTGAATAAAAAAAATGTGTGAGCACTTTGAATATAGGTTCTGATCAAGTGTTATCGTGTCGGGATATTACTTTACATTTTAATACAATTTTATTTTTAATGATTGAATCGTGACGCATTAAAAAGCGTGGGTCATCGTTAACGAGAGATTGACCGGGTCGCTTTTTAATGTGCATAACCTCAATTTGAAACCATTGCGATCGCAGGGCAAGTCTATTTGATTAAGACAACGGCATTTTCAAACCCGGGGTATTTATATTGCGAGCCTTGCGAGCAACACTGCCTTGAGTCGCTATTTTTCGAATAATTCGACTAATGGGCATGATCATCCGCCAAAAAATATTCTCAAACTTTTCTTAGTAAATGGTTTTTGTTAATGAATAACATTTTCTTGTGTGTAAATGAAACTAATTCTCTCGTCAATTATGAACAGAGCGGCGTTTCTCGAACGCCAGCTTCGGCACGAACGGAAGCATTGGCCCCAGCGACCACCGTCCTTCGGTGTCGCTTAGCACGAGCTCGACGCCCGTGCCCTCGCCGCCCTCCCAGGTGCGCAAAGACGCGCCGGCCCCGCCACGCAAGCCTCCCGTTGTAAACTTTGCCACCGCCACCGCCGCCGCCACCGCCGAAGACGACGTCGGCCGACCCTCGGTCGTCAACTCGCACGGTTCACAGACCATCGACGCGTCACAAGTCAAGTTCACGACGGGCGGCAAGAACAGGACCATGAAAGTCATAAAGCCCAGCATGGATCGCTCCCCATCCAGATCCTTCACCTCTCCTAATGGAGTTCGGATGGTCGAGCGTTCCACATCCCCTTTTAATATCGAAGATTACCCTGGTAATAGAATCCACAGTAACGCGTGTACACTTCTTTGAAAATTCCAGCGATATCTTCGTCGGAAATTTACAAATCAATGTAGAGGCAAGCCACCGAACATTTCATCGTAGTTTAAAAACCAAACTGTCTTAGGGTACGCACACAGTGAAAGCAGGTTGCCAGCGTGCTGGTTACCTGCTCAGGCTGGCGCCTGAAAACATAGAATACAGAAGCTTATTCGTACAGGTTTTCACTGTGAACACTTACATTATTATCATATGTTCATTCTTGTGGCAGGTTGGAGCAGGTTGCCGGCGCGGGCAAACCTGCTTTCACTGTGTGCGTACTCTTAGGTCTTGTAGCTGTGCATCTCGGTAGAATTCCACAGTGCTATATGTGTACGAAAATCGCAATTTACGTTGCCACACTTTTAGTTTTTGAGTACTTGATGTTTAAACGTTCGGCTGATTGGCTAGTATGGTTTAGCACAATAGATAATGCACCGCTCCATTGTAGCGTGCACCTGCCCGTGTATATTATTAAGATAAACAATGTGCATCCATTGTGGTGTTTCTGCAAAACTTAGACAGATCGCAGTTTTCGTCGAAGTTTTTGCATTCGTCTAGTCATCGTCAAGATACTTGCATTTTACGAAGTCTTCATAGAATTGCAGGCTTGCAACGTATTGAGGTTACCATTAGACTACGATTTTAAGTGATTAGAGAGTTTATAGATCTCTGTTTTAATAAATAGGTTCACTAGAGATTGGTATAGGATTTTTTATTTGCTGTGCCTTTTCGCAAGCTTTTCTGCACAAGTCCCGGACTAACGAATAGATTAGCAATATTTTGTGTCTGAACACCTCGTAATTAGACTTCAACGTGTGTTCTGTCGACTTCCTTTGCTATCTTCTTTACTTTAAAAAAATTCATTTTATTATTTTATGTGAAATTATTTTAACAGATGATCAACATAGTTGAGCTTCAAATGCCCAAAATCTATAAGGTTTCAGCACCGTTGAAACGTTGGTTCAGACCATCATATAACCGAAATTATTTGACATAATAGAAATTATATTTTAACATTACTACACGTATATTCTTCAAATCTTTTCCTTCATCGTTCCTCCGTCATCAAACGAATTACGCTTACGCAGAATCCATACTCAGAACCAAGTATTTATTTTATATAAATAATATTGGTATGAATCATAATTAATAACTCATCATAAGCCGACAACATCGAACATCAAAACGCCCATTAGCAAAACAAAAACGTGTTATTTTAAATGAAATTCATTTTTGGTTAGTGTAATACTTTAAGGTAAAGTAACTACCCAGTTAATCAATGCATAAATGTTGTTCGTCCTCTAAATCTTGAACTGAATATTAAGGTCCTGACTGAAAACTCGTTTAGAAATATAATATGTATGTATGTATGCAATATATAAATATTCTATACATCCAAGCCCACAGAGTTGATAGCACTCGAACATAGCGTAATGCATCTATAAAAAAGTTTATTTTATATGATAAACGAACATACCAAAGACTATATAAAGTTGTGATAATAATCCCCTGGTTATATTATCTCATTTTCCTGTTCGCGATAAATGGAATAAGTTGCTATGTCCTGTAATTGTGAAATTATCTATTTGAAATGTAGGCGTACCGGCTAGATGTTAGTCTATTATTATTCTATTACCATTACCGTTGTCGATAACTGTAATTAAACGATAACTGTAATTAAAATTCTCACTCGACATGAATTATTCAAGCTCGAAATTATTGAGATTTTAATGAATGACTTTATTTTGTTGGTATAAATCTATCGAGTAGTCAGTGGAACACGCAGCTAAGATTTATTTTAAATTACTATAATTTGTGGACGTGGAAAGTGTCAGTCGTAGATGACAGAACCAAAGTCTAATTCAATATTATGAAATGTGTAAGTTATAGAGGATGCGTGAATATTGAATAGGATACTCGTCCATAAACGCTGCAACACGCATGAAGGTCTAGAGTAAAATGGGAGAAATAATGTGACGGATCGGACGTTACCACTAAACAAAAAATCCAAATTAAATCAATCAATAAAATTAAATCCATTAAATCCCAATTAAAATAAATTAATCCCAAAATTTAATGGTACTGTTGATAATGAAAGTCGAATAGGATGCACATTTTCCCCAAACAGCTTCTAGATCATCGGTTCTTTATAAACTCCGTAAGCTAAATATGAACTAAACTACAGGCCAAGACAAAGCATATTGAGTTGTCTGATGAATATAATTTAGTGCATATAGCTACTTTCTCTCTGTGCTGGAGAACCAAAAACCAAAAAGCCACAGAAATTTCTATTAATAGGAGACAGTAAATTGAGAGCAAAAATTAATAGCTTTCGATCTAGAACATCCAACAATAATACAAATCTCTCTTGTATAGCAACAGTTTATCGGAATGTGAGGGATTACCTTAAGAAAGTACAAAAAATAGCATCTAAAATTCCAATCGTTGGAACTATACGGAGAAAATTCTACAATACGAAGGTGAAGAAAGAGTTGAAAATCAACCCAGGAATCCGTAAAGCTTCATTCCTGTTGAACACAAACGCAGTTCAACTGAAAGCTATGAAATATTAATCGAAAAACTTTGCATTGGACGGACTAGAATCAAGACATTAAACACCGCACATTGAGACTGTCGGAATTGTTATCATCTGGAAGATTTTTCTACTTAATAACAATAACATTGTTATTGTTATTATCTGGAAGATTTTTCTACTTAATAACAATAATAATTATCTATGGAAGATAATTCTACTTAATTGACTGAATGGTCTAGAGGGAAACCGTGATTATCACCAGCAGTTTTACTACACTCGAGTCTATGGGCACTCAGACGATAACTTTACAAAGAGAAATAGAGATAAGTTCGTTTGAAGATTGACGACCATAAAAAAGCGAATAGAAAATCGTTTGGGTCCCAGTCTCTTATTATCGTTGAAGATAGAATGTCTCCACGATGATATGGTTTCTTCACTTAAATTATGACAATACTTTACAATTAAAGACTAAAGCCAAGAAATATTTGAATGGCATAATTGTTAATAAACTCTCTTATTATGTTCAAGCTATAAAAATATATGAGAAAATCCGTTGCGTCTGGGTATAAAAATAAGATCGATGAGCTTCGTATGCGAGTTCAAAAAAATATATCTCCTAACTTCACAACTCCAACAGCACAAGTGTATTCCCAGCATATCTTTCTATTTCATAAAATTTTCACAGTGAACGGTAAAGAGAAGCTACGTACACGCACATTCTTATATCTCTCTATATATAATTTATACAAACTTGCTTCGATGTTCTTCTATGTTGAAACCTAGCCATTTCTTCGAGCTCACGCTGGAGAGAATGTCTCAACCCACAGACGTGAGACAAACAACAGCAGAAGCATCACAGGTTACAACGAACACAAGCTATAATATATACTCAAACCAATATAGCATCATCATTATATGGCATGACAGAAATACCAGGGCAGTGATACGTAGGAGGTCATATGTTTAGTTCAGTGGCCCTCATAATAAAATAACCCGTGAGCAAAGCTGTTGACATGGGAAGACTTGAGAACGAACAGCACAGGGGGAGGGGCAGTAAAATAGAATTTTTATTTGGATTCGTGTGCATCACAATCGTTATTTGATTAAAACTACGTTGCAAAAGCGACGACGTTTGTCTATTGAGATAAAAGGATTCACTAAGACAGTGTAAAAAAATAAATTGACGCTAAATAAATTCTTGGGTATAGCCGATCAAATCGGTTTTAAGTATCAAGAAATACCCTTTGTTGTTCGTTCATTTACAAAACAAACACAAGCACCAAACCCAATAATTTTGTCACAGCTGCGCTAAAGTTCACAATAATTGGATAATTGTAAGTAAGCAGCGATTTATTCATCGCACAGGACGCAGCTCATGAGTAACAGTGAGCACTGCATAGCACTTGTTCCTCATACGCCGTTGTCTACAAGACGTACTAACACGCCAAGAGCTTATAAGACAAATAGTTTTTTTTTATAGTTGGGGTTAAGACTTGTGGCGACAAATGCGCCCACCAGCCTGTTCTCTGTCAGAATAAGACAAATAGTGACTGTGCGAAAGACTATAGCGACTTGCAGAAATAACAATAATAAACCCTTGAAGTTGGATACACACCAGATGTCGCCGCGACACAACCATACATTTAACCACTACCAATATAAGTATGGAGTTAATGTAATAATGATGTAGCCACATAGAATGAAAAGTTAATGAATAAAGATGCAGTCACAGGGAATGACATAAATGGGAATAATGGCGCTTTACACACAATGGCACGTGTTATCAGCAATGTAGGGTAAATTGCAGCGACTGCACGATATAACACTGATTTTCATGGCGCGGTCGATTGTTAAGAGGATCTAATCTCATTACCTTTGTTATGGAATGCAACCCAGGCTCAGAACTCGACTCGGTTGTAAGTTCCACTTACTCACTTCACAGCACAGGGACAAAATTACATACCCGGCAGAAATTATTTCCAATTATCTACATACATAATCATACTCAAGAGAAAATAATCAAAACTGAAATAAATAGCATGAAATGCACACATACGTATAATAATAAACATCAATCATTAAAGACGGTATAAGGTATCTGGCTATGAACCTTCACAACCACAGCGAGCGTTAGGCATCACGATACAAATGAACTAATAGGTAAAATATTGCATCGAAATCCTATTGGAAAATGGACGTATTGTGGAAGATACTTCGTGGTTTACCAGACTCTCATGCTTCCTATGTCGACTTCATGCCAAACTAGCTTGGAAAAAGAAAAATGTCAATTGTGTGTTTGAAAAAAAATCAAGTAAACCAGACTCAACGACCGACCAGTAGAACATTATTAAAGTTTCACTTGATCCTTCTCCAATTATCAGGTCCAGGCGTTGTTGGATCTTTAAAATAAAATTTAAAATAAACCATCTTTAAAATAAATCCAATCTCGCACCGCAATTTCTACAAAAATTACAGATCAAGCGTTAACAAATTAAGCGATGAATTGTTTTCTCTTTACGCCTGTTGATACGACATGAATATTACATGAATTGAATAATTACACCAAGTTAATGAATTATAGTAATTATATGAGGAAAATGTTTCACGGAGCTCCAACACCTCAGAACTGTGACGTTCAATCGTTGCCGCATAAAAAAATTGTCAGATATGATATCTTTAACGAGTTTATAGTCTTCACTAAAGATGTGATCCGAAGAATAAATCAGGAAATTGATGTAAATTAAAAATGAGATCAAACTAAAGATTAATTCGTTCCCGAATTCGTTTAATCAATGATTCAAATTTTTTATTACGTTGCTGGAAGTTAAATTTTATTTCTCAGATAAAATATATTTTATCTACTTTTCCGTATATATATCGCATATATATTTATTATGTTCCAATTTTAAAAGCTAGATTCTTCTATAGCTGAAGGTCTGGGCTCGCGGCGCGTCGATAGATCATCATTCACTCAACAGTTGAATTGCCGTGAACGAACGTTCATGCAGGCAGAAATATTCGAGAGGAAAAGTTGTACTACAGAACAGTTTTGTGGAAATTATTAAGTTTGTTATTACCTGTGAATGATAGAACAACGAGCGCGAAAATTAGGAACACACGCACGCATGAAGCACACGTACTCGAATCGTACGCGCTCAAGCATGAAGTACAAGTGCACGCTGCACATGACACGCTCAAGCATGAAGTACAAGTGCGCGATGCACATGACACGCTCAAGCATGAAGTACAAGTGCACGCTGCACATGACACGCTCATGCATGAAGTACAAGTGCACGCTGCACATGACACGCTCAAGCATGAAGTACAAGTACACGCTGCACATGACACGCTCAAGCATGAAGTACAAGTGCACGCTGCACATGACACGCTCAAGCATGAAGTACAAGTGCTCGCTGCACATGACAAGCGCACGCTGGATCGTCAGGTTCGCGTGCAGGCCAGTCGTCATGTCTTCTCGTATTTGAACATCTGCACAAAAATGGATTGTAAGTAACTTATTACGGATGGCAACAAACGTACAAGAAGTTATAACAACTCCATTTACCCGAATTGTTGAGGGTCAAATTATTGGAATTTGAATAATCACAGTTAATGCCCAAGGTAGGTTAGTAAAGATTAGATACATGAACAATTATAAAATGCTGGAATTAAGGGAACTTACTTGGTTTAATAGTTGCGCCCAGAGCAGTGCAAGGAGTGGTGAGCAGTGACACAAGAGAGGGGTGGAAGTCAGTAAGTGGAACAAAGGGGTTGTACAAAAGGGTGGAAGTGAGTGGTGGAAGAGAGATTTTGGGATAAGAGAGAGAGGAAGCGAAGGGTGGACGAGAGAGATGGAACAGAGGGATAGAAGAAGGAGTCACACGGTCGAGCTTCCTCTGGTGTGAAGAAAAATACGAATTAACGATATCAACGTAAAAGTCACTGCCGAATTGATTGTTGATGTTTCAAATTATTCAACACCAGCATCCCAATTCCCGACACTCACGCCCCACTCACCGACACCCGCGCCCCACTCACCGACAGCCGAGGTTCTGCCCTGCAAGTTTCTCCTGCAGACGACGCTGTCGCTGCAGTCGCCTGTACCTCAGCACGCTCGTCTGCACCGCAGTCGGCCACAGCGACGTCTGCCCGCAGCGGTACACGAACCTGCCACAACACACTATACGTTACACGACGCTACGTTAACACGTTGACTACGTATTGGTACATATGCATACCACGAAATGTATTTCTCCAGGACGTAGTGGTACATAATTAAGGTTGCCTGAAATCGGCCAAATCCGAGAACAAAAAAGGCCAAAAAAGGCCGATAATTCAATGTATACTAGTTTATTTGCAGGTTCCGCTATAAAAATTTCATTTATTTTCTTTTTGCAGTATTTAAAATTTAATTAGGAAGTAATTAAATTTTAAAATTAAATAGTATCATAAATTTAAATAGTAATTAAAATTAAATAGTATCATAAATTTTAGCCGGCTAACGCAATTGAGAAAAACTAAATCACGGAATTTGTCCGGAAAAAATGACCGTCTGGCAACCCTGCTTAAAAAAAGTACAAAAACTGAAATAATTGTAGAAGATGAAGCAATCGTAGTCAACGTGTTAAGTAACACGACGTCACGCTTCACGTCCCGGGACAACACGTAACGATGAACTAGGCAACGTCACGCTACATCACACCGTCTTGCAGTAAGTTATCCTAAGTTAGTATTAGTAAACATGGCTGTAATCAAGATCTTGTTAGGTGAGATAAGATTACCTATGTCTCAGGTTAGGTGAGGATGTGCTAGGCTAGGATAGTTGGTATGAGATTTTAGTTTGACTTCAGAAACGTTAAGTTGGCTAGGTTAGGTAGGAGATTTTGAATTCAGAAAAGTTAAGTTAGGCTAGGTTAGTCATGACAATAATAAAGTATAGATTGAATGATGTTTAGTCTAATAAAAACAGACCTGGGGAGGACGGCTGTGATGGAGCTGAGGATGACGACACACCAGTGGAGGGGGGAGGTCATGGCGTGCGGGTAGACCCAGTAGACGCTCTGCAGTCCGAAGCACGCCACGCACGACATCGTGTACGCCATGCTGAACACGTGGAATATCACCAGCGAGAACACCAGTGACGCCACGTGGAGGATAGTCTGTTGTAATAAACAATCTTATTAAATGGAATATCACCAGCGAGAACACCAGTGACGCCACGTGGAGGATGGTCTGTTGTAATAATCAATCTTATTAACTACACATACTATAACTACTACAAACAACAAATTAAATGGCAGGCATTGATTATTCAATCCGTCGAGACAACCAACATAATTAGCTACGAATTCACTAGGAAACAATTTAGTATTCAGTCCGGTGTAATAAACAACCTAATCAACAATGAATAAACTGGCAGACGTTTCGATTTTAAATTATTTATCAGCGCAACGATGTTTATTTTACGCTCCTTCACAATTATGAAATTAATATATTGGGTAACTCAAATTTACGAATGGTTCTTGAATTTCATTTTATTTGCGTTATTTGGCCGTACCCAAGACTTGATCTCGAGGGCGATGGTGAGAAGCTGCCCCAGCAGGCAGCTGTGCACCACCGTCAGCGCTACAAGGTCTCCACCGCTGTCGCCACCGTAGTACGCCTGCACATATGCGTAATGTAGTACGTCCTGAGAAGCGTAATAACTTCGCCTGCACACATGCGTAATGCAGAAGGTACGTCGTGAGTACGGTATCAAGTACGTCTGTACTCATGCGTAATGTAGTACATCCGGAGAAGCGTAATAACTACGCCTGTACTCATGCGTAATGCAGAAGGTACGTCGTGAGTACGGTATCAAGTACGTCTGTACTCATGCGACGCGAAGAATTGGAATACAAATAAAATGCTTACATCTTGAGAGAAATGATCGCTTCATTTTTAGCAAGCTGCATGCACGACTTAGAGAAGATCTGTCATTGCATATACATTGTTTACCACTTTCATCATTTCTATTCAAATCAGCATATTAACCAACTTCATTTTATACATTAAAAGAGTACAGAATTTCGATGTTATATATAACATAAGGATCATCAATGAAACGATACACGAAAAAAATATTACCTACATGATATATCAAATTGATACACCGTTATAATGACAAATTATAATAATCACATCACTAGAAAGAACGAAATTAGAATGATCCATCACTGTTATGCTATAAATAATAAAGGTACATTCAAATTTTACATCAATAAGACATATACTATATGACTTGCACGCCATGTTACTCACTCGAGGGCGAAAAAGTTCAAATGTAACATCCGTCAGTAACATAAAACAGACCATGGGCCTATTTCTTCTATGCCGACACTTCTATTCTATTCTATTCTATGACTCATCACAGGTCACATGACTTGCATGCCTCGTCACATGACTCCTGCCACGCCACATGCCTTGCATGCCACGTCACATGCCTCGCATGCCACGTCACATGCCTCGCACGCCACGTCACTCACCCCCAGAGCGAAGAAGAACATGACGATGGACTGGAAGGCGGCGTCGAGGATGTTCACCCAGAAGTATGAGTGTTTGAAGACCTGGTCCAGCCTCCCCGCGTCGTACAGGTGCGGCTCTGACAGCAGCACCGAGCTGGGGGCGTCCTTGTCGTATGCGCCTGCAAAGTAATATATTGGTAATAAAATGATTACATCTTGTTACACGATACCGTATTTTTAATACTTGAATACTTTTCTCGTCGTACTTTTAATACTTGAAATCACGTTAGTTGTGTGTGTGCAATAGTCACGTTAGTAGTTGTAACTAGCGTTACGGTGTAGGCTTAGTTATGGTAGATTGCGATATGGTGCAGTCTTAGATAACGGCGGTTAGCGTTATAATGTAATCGTTGGTTAGGCGGTTAACGTTATAGTGCAGTCTTAGTTAAAGAGGTTAGCGCGGTAGTGCCATCCTACTAAGTGTAGTTATCGTTATCTTACGGGCTTGGTTAGAGTGGTTACAGTTATCGTGCTGGCTTGGTTATGGTGGTTGCAGTTATCGTGCGGGCTTGGTTAGGGTGGTTGCAGTTATCGTGCGGGCTTGGTTAGGGTGGTTGCAGTTATCGTGCGGGCTTGGTTAGGGTGGTTGCAGCTATCGTGCTGGCTTGGTTAGGGTGGTTGCAGTTATAGCGCTGGCTTGGTTAGGGTGGTTACAGTTATCGTGCTGGCTTGGTTAGGGTGGTTGCAGTTATCGTGCTGGCTTGGTTAGGGTGGTTGCAGTTATAGCGCTGGCTTGGTTAGGGTGGTTACAGTTATAGCGCAGACTATAGTGGTTAGTTAGTTATGGTATTTAGCGTTATAGGAACGCGATCATCATAGTTTTTCAGTATAATATCAAAAAAATATGAAAAGAGCACGGTGGAATTATCAAAGTTTGGTACGTTTTCCATCAGTGGCACACGAGGGCCTTTCAAAGTACAAGTGGTTATGACGATTTTTAATTAGATTTATTTTTGACCTCTCAAAAATGTTTTCTGGCTAGTACGGGATGATTTGATAACGATTTGGAACCGTTGCCCTACACCACCAACCAGAACACAACGGCCCATCATTGAATGCAAAAGGAAGCGTACTTAATATGCAAATTATTAGGGCACTGACTAAATTACATGCTAATAATTGCATAAGTTAGCTGCTGACAAGTAGCTCAAGTTTTACGCTGTGCCTGTACGGAACAGCTAAGTTGTACACGCTCACGAAAAGTTTAAGAAACCTTGGAGTTCCCCAATAAAAAAAAAAAATTAAGCAAGGCATACAATCTTGACTTAACTACGCATGCTCCAATTGGCAGCTCGCAAAAATAATTAGCATCACAGGATACAAAAACGTAAGTTAAAACGTTTAATTTAAGCGCAAAACCGCATATCCTAAAAATGCCTGCGGTAAAAAAGCTCATCAGGGAAGCCAGAGTCTAGATCAACTAAATGGAGCGCACAGCGAAATATTTAAACCACTTACCTACAATGACGGGAGGTACGGACGTGAAGGTTAGGCTGAACTGGATGAGGTACATCTGGTCCATGAAGTTATTGCCGGTGAAGGAACAGTAGAATTGGTACCACAGCAGCACCAGCACCAAATTCTGCCAGCAATACACGGTTGTTACTCTCAGTGGTAACATAGTCGAAATAATGAACAAATACTCTATGAATAACTCGAACCTAAGAAGGATCGAGACATTGTGGTTCCAGATGTTTACGTGCATGTGATATCTCCGGATAACTGTTTGTTTAAGACTCGCCAATACCAGATTAATAAAAAAATAATACCGCTGTTAAATACTTCGATGACTCACGACACAATTAATGACGCAAATCTAACCGCCCAACAACGAATAAAGAATTATTAGAGCCACATTGTACTCGTGCACTCACGGCATTCTTGTAGAAGAAGTAGAGTATAATGGAGGCAAGCCTGTGGTGACACCAGTGGCCGTGTAGCAGCAGGAGGCGCTGCAGGTGGCAGAACCTGCTGATGGCAAAGTCTGAGCACATCACAGCCTGGCGGCCCTCCACGCCGCTGATGCCCACACCCACATCGGCCGTCTGGCGGGGCAAAAAAAGTTAGCAATTTCGTCTTAGCCGTAGAAGCAATGATTTTGAATCGTCAGACCAGATCGTGAAAGTATCGTAACTTCAGAACAGTGACCTTGAACTGCGTGCGCTGATGCATGCGCAGCCAGTGAAAATCGCGCAATATCGGTATCACGTGGTCCAATTTTCGCTAATTGGACGCGAGTCGCGCAGCAGCGTTCATAAAGGATTACAGTTTATTGGGTGCCATGGTCGAAAGTCCATCAAGTGTGGCATTACCACAGTTCAATCTGGTCATAACGAGCGCCACCACGATGGCCTCGAGGACCATTCTCGAGAGACAGCGGCTGACGTTACGTATTCGTCGCAGAGCACCAAAACAAGCGGTGATGACTTTAGCTATGTGATTATTCATAGAAAGTTCAGAGTATAGCAGAAACAACTAGTACAAGTACCATTCCATACCTGAAAAAAACTAGTAATCGGACCTTCCAGTAGCTGAACTGAGTAGCAATAGGATAATCAAGTACTTGGACCAAGCTAGACTTTGACCATCACTACCACTACCAGCACTACGCAGTACTTGAACCATGTAGCAGCATCCATTACTATCACCCTACAACACCATGCAGTGCGTGCCAGCCAGGGCCCGTGAATGGATCATGGATCACTGCCATTACCTGGGTCATGAACCACTGCCATAATCATTACGTACCTGGATCATGGATACATCGTTGGCACCGTCGCCCACAGCCATGCTGAGGACGCCCAGGTCGCGCTTGGCAAGCTTGACGACGAGGGCTTTCTGCAGGGGCGTGGCGCGGGAGATGAGCACCGAGCGGCACTGCCCCGCCAGCTCCAGGAACAGCGGCCCTAGACTCGTGCGCCGGTCCAGGATGAAGCTGGGGGAAGATGATAAATGCTAAAGGTGGACGGGTGGTCTAATGCTGATGTAAGATGAGGTTATGTCAAAGGACTTACGGATCCCCTCGCAACCCACGACCCTCACGCGTTCAGCGATCCTCTGGTGACTCCCCTCCCCTGACACAACCCTCGATCCCCAAGCGACCCATGAACCTCCGATCCTCACGTCATCCCCGATCCCCAAGCGACCCCCGATCCCCAAAGGATGGCCGGGACATGCGGTTACTCACGTCAGCGTCTTGCCGTCCACGACGAGCCCTCGCTCCTTGTCATCGTCAGGGGCTGCGTCAGGACACGTTGCAGCCATTAAACTAGAGCTGACGTCAGTCATGCTGGTCGTAGATGCATGGACGTTGTCAGCAGCAACGTCAGTAGCCGTCACGGACAGGACGGAGCCAGCGTCATCGTCATCAGGAGCCTGACGAGGGCGACGTGCACGCATACCACAGGACTCGAGGAACCGTCGCATCGTCTCCTCTGCGTGCTGCGTCGTGGCGTTCACCTTCATGATCTGAAAAACGGTTTCAAGAAACGTGACTAAATCGCATAGAAAAAAAACGCTCCGACTAGAAAAAGTATATGCTGGCAAAACTAAACACATTAGAATGTTCAAAATTAGTTTATGACATTATGTTTTCAAGACTCATGCCTGACCAAATTACAACTCAAAGTGGTATCGTGGCTGTGGCATTCAGTAAATGGCATTATGCAAATATGGCATTCAGCAAAACATGCAGTTTACGACAACCGCACAACTATGGAGCGCTTCTATCAACGTCAAAAGATCGTATTGAATTATAATGCAAAGGAGACTACATATATGAACTACAACGCACTCTAGTCGGAACACAGGTGCGGTACAAGCACTGCACCTCTCTCTCGCTAGAGCAGTGGTTCCCAAACTTTTTCAGGCTGGCGCCCCCTTTGGCTCCCTAGTGAATTTCTATCGCCCCCCACAGACACATTTAAAAAAAATACGCCTCTTTCTTGAAATTTAGTACTCTGCAATTTTAAAAGATAAAGGTTAAACACAAACGTGCATTTCACAAATAGAACCCCATTTAGTGAACCAATATGTTTTTCAGCTGTTTTAACTGTTTCAGCACTAGAAACCTAGGACGTCTCGGGCAAATTTACGGCCGGACTCGTGGCCGGTCTCACGAGCAATCTCCAAATTCAATTATCAAGTAATATCTCCCAAACTAATGAACGCAGCTCAATAAAAATTGGAACACGTATTCAGTAAGACCTAATGGTGATGTTTAGCAAGTGAAAATTTTTTAAATTTCGCCTTCATTCGTGAGTTACATTGCGATAAAGGCCGAAATTCGAAGTGATCAAAGAATTTCTTCCAAACTCCTGAACAGATTTTAGCGAAATTTTGAATATACATTCCTAACTACCAAGCGGTGATTTTTTGGCTTATAAATTTTTTTTATTTCACCTTCGTTTGCAAGTTTTTTTTTCATTTCACCGTCAATCTTGATTTCACAAATCCTAATATTCGGCCCGTATCGCCGTGAAATTTGTCGCTTAAATTCGCGGCGATCAAGAAATTCCTTCTAAACTACTGAACAGATTTCAACGAAACTTTGTATACCTAACCTCCCAACGGTGATGTTTAGCTCGTGACAATAATTTTTCTATTTTGCTTCCGTTCGCGAGTTATACAGATAAAGGAGAAACGACCTGCTTTTCTACCGCCCGGTTTAACCAAGAGCCGTTTACGTATAGCCGTATAACTCGCAAACGAAGGCAAAATCGAACAATTTGAAACAAGCTAAACATCACCGTTGCTGAGGTTAGGTATTTAAATACTAAGTTTCGTTCAAATCTGTTCAGTAGTTTGGAAGAAATTTCTTGGTTACTGCGAATTTAAGCACGTATTGCTGTTTAAAATCGCGAATGAAATTGAAATGAAAAAAATATAACTCAGTATTCACTTCAGTGAGTGACAGAGAGCGCATTTTCTCGTCGACGAAAACATGAAGTCACGGACAGACAGACGGACAAGACGAGCACAATAGCGCCTTTTTTTCTATTAATGAGAAAATGCGCTAAAAACTCGCGAACGAAGGCACAATCGAAAAAAATTTTCCGAGCTAAACATTACAGTCCGGTAGTTAGGACTGTAAATTCAAAATTTCGTTCGAATCCGTTCGGTAGTTTGAAAGAAATTCCTTGATCACTGTGAATTTCGGCCCGTATTGCTATATAACTATGGCAAAAACAAATGAAGGCAAAATTCAAAAAATTTTCAGGAGCTAAACATTACCGTTAGGTCCTAATGAATACGTGTACCAAGTTTCATCTAGTTAATTAAAGTACATTAGTTTGAGAGATATTCCTTGATCATTGAATTTGGAAATTGACCGTGAGACCGGCCGCGAGTCCGGCCGTGAATTGGTCTGAGACGTACACCCAGGAGAGGTTAAAAAGACAAATCTGGGTGAAAAACCATCGCTGGGAGTCATGCGCTGCACGTGTTGTGTACAAATCGTCAAACAAACGTTCGAACTTCTGACTTCGACTTGCCGCCCCCCTATCGCCCCCAACCGCCCTTTTCTTCCTTATCGCCCACCAAAATCTTTCCACCGCCCCTAGGGGGGCGATATCGCCCACTTTGGGAACCACTGCGCTAGAGCAAGGCCTGCATGAAACGCTTGAAAGTTGCAAACACCAACATATTTGGGAGAGAGAAGAAAGGCAGTAAACAGAAGGGAACAAAGACCTGCATGGTGGGAGAGAAGAGGGCGGCGGAGTGGGCGACATTGATGGCCGTCTCCTGCTTGTCTCCCGTCAGAAGCCACACGACGATACCCGCCGCCCGTAACGCCTCCAGCGTCTCCGGCACCAGCGGCTGCAGGCGGTCCTCGATCCCCGTAGCACCTGCCAACAACAGAAGTTTACCTTACCGAATATTTTTTATTTTCTTCTTGTCAATAGATTACCTGGCTAAGTATTTGCTAACTCCCTGGACTATTCTCCACATGGTCTGAAAGGTTACAAATGTCTGGAACAACTATTCTGTTGTTTCGGACATTTGTAACCTTTCAGACCATGTGCCGCTCTCGTGTTTCATACTGTCATCAAGCGTACCAAGTTCGTTCCAGAATTTCCTGCCCTAATGCTTCCCCATCAACATGGATTGCCAAATTTGATGGATTGCCGAGGTCTCACCGAAAAACCGATTTAGCCTGTTGAACATTCGCATTAAAATTGCTAAGTGGTTACCAGCAAACATTCTGCGACGATAGATTTAATGCTTGGAACGCAGCACTATAGGTAAAACTCTTTTGCGTCTAGAACGTATACATTTAGCGTCTAGAACGTATACGTACTACTGAACGTATACATTTAGTACGGCATGTCTCGACATGTTCTCACTTGGAAAATTAGATTGCGAGGAGTTGTTCTACAGAAAACGGGCCAAATTTTTTCGTTCCACATCAAATCGTTTTAAAATATGGAACGCATTATTGATCGTCACGTGGCTTACAATATTACTCATGGAGTAAAGCGAGACTGCGCCAAGATTCAGCCCAACAACATGAGATAATAAATCACCGAGTAGAGGTATAACTCACCGAGTAATGTGAGGCTCTTCTCCATGAGTTTATAAGAGTTCTGAAGCTTGAACTCTCTATCGGCAAAAGAGGCCTCAGCCTCATCATGGCCACGCCTCCACCAGAGATACTCGGCCTCGGATACGTGTCTCGTGGCCACGCAGAGTGTACGTAGGCCTTTCTTGGAGTACACGTAGAGGTGCTGGTGTGTCCTGAACTGCCGGAACTGATCAAGCTGGTTGCCCACGCGGTCCAAGTTGTCCAGAATTGCAGAGTCAGCACCTAATTACATCAAAAAATTAACATTGACTCGTGTATCAAAGTGAAAACGGAAAAATCGTCAACAGAGATCTTTTTAAGTGTACTGCCAAAACGTGATTATGTACGACTTTTAGAACGAACTTTTGAACACAGTGAAACAGACACGATGACCCAACAGCTGCTTAGAACACATGCCCTGTTGAGCATTGGACCTTAGCGTGTCAACAAGTTTACTGCGTTTGCCCAAACGCACGTTATTAATAATTTAAATTACTAAAATATTCTATATTTAATTCAATCGCCAGTAGTACTTCAAGTCAGTACTACTCAGTACTGACTTGATCGTCAGTAGATATGTAATTCGAGCGTCAGTATTCGATATTTAATTCGATCGCGAAACATGTAGATAAACGTTCATAAGGAATATATATGTTGTACCCAAACGTATTACTAAGAAACTTGAGGCATTTAACACGACGCACCTTTACAGTAGAGGATGATGCTCTTGGTGCGAGGGTCGCGCACCATAACGGACATCCTCTTGCGCGTCGAGTCGAAGGGAAACACGTGCAGCACCTCAAACTGCAGCACTCCCGCGCCTGAACACGGCACGATGAGAAGTTCTTCTCAATTACACTTCATAAACAGCCTTCAAAAAAACATCACTTTAGATGTTAAATAAATTTTGTGGTTCTCTATCATAACTACTGTGCATCTGTCTTTACCCGAATCTCAAGAGTCATCGATGAATTTAAATTCATAGTTCGTTACCCTTTTCTAATCGTTTTTTTAGATCTATCACGATAACCCAGACCATTGTTTGCACAAGAAAAGCGACCACCAACAGTTGTGTTAGATTCAAACACCCGCAGACAATGAGGTGTTTGCCTCTAATCTATTATAAAAAACTAGCTACAGTCGTACATACTCAATAGGTAACACTAATTTGTAACAGGTAACACATACAAAACAGTTGATGGTCGAACGCACAAGACAGTGGACCGTCATTAAAGGCAAAATACTAATCGCCTTACGTACACTGCGGTGAGTGTTGTAACGTTCACTGAGTAGCTGCACCCGTCACACTCACCCGTCACACTCACCGGGCACACTCACCGGGCACGCTCACCCGTCACACTCACCCGTTACATTCATCCGTCACACTCACCGGGCACGTCGACAAGAGCGGTGTGGGCGTCCCGCCTGAGGAGTCGCACGCCGTACTTGAAGGCGGCTTCAACAAGGGCGAGTTCGTCAGGACTCTCGGCCTCGTACAAGGGCTTGGGCTCCTCCTTCGTCACCCCCAAGAGTTCGTCCTTGTCAGGAACAGGCGCTGTCTCGCCGCTCACACTCGAAGCCTCCAAAGATGACGATGAATATGATGAATTGTCGGTTCTCCTACTTGACTTGAGCGGGGATCGTGGAGCGTATATTCGTCCCAATGGAATTTTCAGCGTATTTGGAGGAGTTAATCTAGTTTCGTGACGAAATCTCTCCTCTGATGAACTATTAGATGGAGCGCTACCATATACGGAGCACGGTGCTCTAGAACTCCCTAAAGAGCTCTCGCTAGTACTACTTATAAAGGCACTGTTACATAGTCCTTCTCTGGCTAACTCGGGGGCAATAATTCTGCTCGTTGCGTCCCCAGCACTATCAGAGAGCGGGTTTAATGTCAGGTGCATTAAAGGTAAATTTGTACTTTGTGCGGCACAAGGGGTTTTGTAAGCCCAGTTCATCTGGGACGGAGAAAGAGACGACGACGATAAGTCATCAGATGCTTTGCTTACACTTAAACTCGAAGAATTAAATACATTTGAGGCGCTTGTCACGGACTTGGCAGGTACCGACGACTGCAATTCTTTGCCAGGCGTCGAGTGTCGGGCGGACACGTTGGCCGCCATCACATGTGGTCCATCAGCCGACGAGGACGAGAAGGACAATATTTCGGTGGCGGGCGTGAGGGACGAGTCCAGCGGCACGTCGGTACAGAACGTGGCACAGCTCGACATCTCAGAGTCGGGACCACCGAGTTCCGACACGAGGGACTGAGAACCCAGGGAAGGCGTGGGGTCCTTTAAATTAAAATGAGCCGCACTGTTCTCGCCGCCCAAGAGAGTAGCAGGTACAAACTGCAGGGAGGGATTCTTGCCGTCATGCTGCATAAAAATTGCAGGTGACTTTGTATTTCCCGCGTTGTGGTGCTTAGGGCAGACCTCAGGTGATGCAGTGGGGGATGAAGCAATGGGGGAGAGAGGACGATTGAAGGGATTAAGGGAGCGGAGGTTGAGGTATGGACGTTCAGGGAGGGGAGGGATGCGGATCAAAGGGGTGAAGGCTCGTAGCGATGGTATGAGACGACTCGGGGTGATTACACTGTGGTAGTCGTCAACTCCAGGCGTGGGTGGGTTGCCTGACCCACTAGTTGCAGGCTGGAGAGAAATAAAATTGTAAATTCGAAAAATTGAAAACAAAATGAATATCTATAATTTTAACTTTCAGTCTGTCGCGGCTCATCTGTCAGGCTTAGAAATCACAGCAATAAGATATCAGGATACTGGAAGCGCAGGGATAGAAGAAAAATATTCAATAGATAGAATAAGTTCTTATTCAAAATTGTAAATATTTAATGATTACAAGCTCCCTTCAACAAATAAAATCATATAATAAATTATAAAACAGACGAAATATTTAACAGAGACAAAACATGCAAACAAATAACAGCGAAGCAAAGAAATGCTGGGTAGCACAAGAGTATTGATATGAACCGTATATTTAACAACAAATATCAAGAGTAAAGTCTAACTTTATCGCGATGTGGAGTTTTAGCAACGATGACGGTGTTGCAGAGCACCAGCGTCAACATGAAGTTCAAAATACGTTCTTGATGAACTTCTGGGTGTTGCTGATGCAGGTGACGCTGCAACGATTGTTGCTCTTGTTGCTGCTTTTGTTGTTGTTGCTGCATGGTCTGTTGGTCTGGGGCCGCCGGGTCTGGCAATGGTCTACGTTGATGATACATAAGTGAGGGTGAAGGGTCTTGCTGCTGCCCTGGACTCGTGCCTGACGGGGCTGGCCGGTGCAGGTCGTCGTAGAGTTGCTTGTTGATTTCAAACGAGTCGCCACAATTTTCGCCCCCCTCTTCCTGCAATGATTGTTTCAGACATTATTTTTTGTCAAAGTTAACAAATGTGCAATAATGACATTAGAGGTGAATCAGAGCCATATCATTTGTATGGAGCAGTTTGCGCGAATAATTCAATATAGAAATAAGTACATCAATGCAGCGTACAGGGAGCACATCAATGCAGTGTACACGGAGCAAATCAACACGGTCTCACCACATCATTACACGTACTCACCACATCTATTAAAGTTCTCACCGTGTCCAGTTTGTCAGTGGTGATCTGGTGTTCGTAGTCGACGCCGTTGATGGAACAGCGCTGGAACACCATATTGTTCTCCGTGAGCGTGCCCGTCTTGTCAGTGAACACGTACTGAACTTGGCCAAGCTCCTCGGTGATGTTCATGGCCCGACACTCTGGTATGTTCAATAAATTACTACTTTAATTAGTGGAGAATTTATTGCCCAAACTTTATTCTTTCAATGCTCAAGAACTGGAGTTCTTGTGTTTGCAACATGAGCTTCGATGAGTTCACGTCTGAGAAACAGTGTCAAGTTCACCCAACATGATAGAAACCGATATCAGGGCCCTTGGGTTAGCAAAAATGAGCGCAACAACTTACATTACTCATCTACGGCACGTATAATGTAAAATGCTTAGGCTTGCACTGCAATCATCACATTCAAATATATTCGCTGGCCAATATATGAAGCTATTTGAGTGAATATAAGATGTTGTATAACTAATAAGGCTCGTCGAGTGCAAATAACGCCCGTGTTGTACACAGTGGTGGGCACAGTCCGCTAATCCGCTAATTAGTGAAGATGACGTTTTTCTTAGCCGGTGTGCCACACTGCTGGCTGACTACGTCAACATATGTACGTCAACCAATCACGTCTTGTGTACCCTATCACGTATTTTGTTACACAAGTCGCGATTAGTTGACGTACCTATGTTGACGAAGTCAGCCATCAGCGTGGCACACCAGCTAAAGAAAAAGTTAGCTTTGCTAATTAGCGGTTGGCGGATTAGCGGACTGTGCCCATCACTGGTTATGCATGACGTACCAATGGAGGACCCGTTCCTTGCGTCAACGAAGCACGGGTCGTTCTGTATGTGGTAGACCTGCAGCATCTTGATGATCTCGATGGTGACGTAGAGCGCGATCGGGATGATCACCTGCACAGTCATCCAACAAAATTAACTGAAATGTGCTTGATTTTATCGGTTCTTTTTATAGAAGAGAAATTTAAAAGATCGTTAGTTCCATGTCTGGTATTTCGTTTTTGAGGATTTTGGAATCTCTACACATGCTTAAACGGAATCTTTACCTCAATAATGTTTACAGTTCTTATCCTCTTGAAATTGTTAATTTTTAAGTTTATTTGTGCGTTCATGTAAATTGGTGACATTTTTCGGTCTCTAAGTTTTAACCTCGTTTCGAGTAAATTTGGCTTTTCTCTATCGATTGTGTTGGCATTCTCAACATTTTTGAGCAGAATGAGCTGGTTTATGATACGGTTTCCATGAAGATATTGCTATTTTACTTGTCTCCGCTTTGGTTTTAGAAACAACGAGTGAAGGAAGTCATTCTTCATCAGGGAAGAGCGGGAACCTCGAAAGTATTGAACGTTTGATCAATCCACGTAAGTTGCTAAGGCTTTACTGCCCGTGTATAACTCGAGGTTTATCAGTGCACTTATTTGTGTGTTAAAAATGAGACTTCAACTTCATTAATACGTCATTATTTTCTTATTTTCCTACTTCAAGGAGAATTTATTTTTTGACAATGAAGGCAGTCACCTGAAAGATGATGACGAAGGTCCAGAAGGAGAGGAAGGCGACCCAGCCAGGGCTGGTGGAGAGCCGCCTGACGGCAGGCGAGGCGTCCTCGGACACCTCGCCCCTCACCAGTTCCTCTAGGGCGTCTCCCCCGCCGTTGAGGGACGGCATCACGGGGGGCAGGAACGGCACCACTCCACCGGCAGACACTTTGTCGAAGTATGCCTGTCACGTCAACACTTCTTAACCTCAACTGCAGTTTTGAAATTATTAAATTAACTAACTATTAAATTAAAGAAATCATTATGTTGGTATCGTTCAGTAGAAAAAAATTAATAGACTTCCGACAGGTGGACAAGATCAAGATACAAATGCGGCGCAATGCTCAATTTTCGCCTTGCTTAAATGTGACCTGCTTGTTATACTGCCACGACCTACTGCACTGTACCTGCCACACCACCGTACCTGCCACACCCCTGCACCACCGTACCTGCCACACCCCTGCACCACCGTACCTGCCACACCCCTGCACCACCGTACCTGCCACACCCCAGAGCCGGTGGCAGAGAGGAAGCACATGACGAGGAGGATGGCAACGCAGCAGACGACGGACGTGTTCATGTGGCGCTCGAGACGTGACCGCTTGTAGCGACTTGAGCTGCTGTTGAGCATAACCTTCGTCTCCGACCCTGTGGGATGTGCGGGAGGTAAGGAACCGTCACGAGTTAATAAATAGAGGAGGGAACAACCTTCGTCCTTATTTTATTAGATAGAAACTGATTAAATATTTGTGTTACTGACTGAGGTGGTGTGGGAGGTGGTAATAAAGGAGGTGCGGGAGGTGGTAAGGAGGTGCGGGAGGTGGTAAGGAGGTGCGAGAGGTGCAGTTGAGGGAAGTTTTGGAGCATAAAGTTGAAGAAGATAAAAATAATAATAAAAAATGAATCATAAAAAGAGAAGAACCTGCATAGACGACGAGGCCTTCGACGAAGTCCGTGTTCTTGACGAAGCACGAGCGCAGTAGGAGGTTGCTCTCGTTCAGAGCAATCCTTCGCGTGCCCTCGGCCACGGGGATGGAGCCCAAGAAGTGGTAGATCTTGGTCGTCGGTGGCGAGATCTCCACCGAGAAATTCAGTTTCTGTACGTCGAAGTTGTCGTCCTGGAGAAAAAATTCTTAAAATTCAGTTTCTGTACGTCGAAGTTGTCGTCCTGGAGGAAAAATTCGTAACTGAGGCAGCCTTCGTCCGTGAACAACAGGCAAACTTAATAATCCGGTGCAAAAATTATGCTAATAATCAATAAAAAAATATGACACCGTGGCTATAGTGTTTTGAAGAAGGTTAACTTGCATACGGTACACGAGATTGCAATGTGCCTTAATCGTATACTACGGTCAAAGCATTCAAAACTATAATGTCCTGCAAAATGACGTTCTTTAAGATAACATTTACACAACATTAATGTAACGAAACGCCCCCAAAACTAAGCGTTTAATTTACCTATTGAAAAATATAAACTAGCATAAGAAAAAGTATCAGAGAAAAATGCATTTACAGGAGTCCCAATTACCTGAACGAGAATAAATGAGGACCCAACGCATCGACAGAACAAGAGTACCTATATAAAGTATACAAGAGTATATATCCACCACGTCGAGGACAGAATAAATTGACATTTAAACCTGCTAGACCCGCCATGCAACGACCAGAGGTACTAAATGAAAAGCTAGACCAAGTACCCCCCCAAGCCACGTAATTATCTATAAGCTGTTCCTCTGGCCCACCAGACCTCGTTAGACATTCCCTAGCTCTACACCCTGGCCCACAACGCTCGATCTAGTGAATTAGGAACTGCGAGCCACACGCACCATATCCACCCACCACGCTATGTCCCTAACCCACCACATCCCCCCCTCTAACCCACTCTCTTATACACATCT